TAATGGTCACATGTGATGAAGCAACAAAACAATCAATTTCACTCTAATGTTGCAATTCCATGTTTCACATGTTTCATGACTTTGTTGTAATTTTAAACTTGTCATATTACTACCATGTTGCCCTGTTTCAAGGTATGAGAAACTCATGTTGCATTCACATGTTTCACTACTACCATTCACAAGCAATCAAGTATGAAACAAACATAATTGAGAATGTTGCATATACATGTTTCAGTAACAATGGCATGATGAGATAGATGATGCATATGGTTATGAAATGAAATGCAATTTTATGGGAGCCAAACACCTAGGGTGTTACAACGTCTGCGGACGTCGTTCCCTTCTTGAAGGCGTCCTTTCCTACCTCTTCTCCTACCGTACTGGATGTTGCAGGTGAAAACCTTCCTTGGCGGGCTACCATGTCGGCGCGTTTAGCGTCATTTCCTCCTTGGGGGCATGGCTAGGCATTCCAGTTTCGCGATTGATCCTTACTGTTTGGTGTCGCTCGGCAGGACGTCGTCTTCTTCGGTCCTTGTTAGTTGATATTTGAGTTGTTTAGTTGGGTCGTTCTGACCAAGTTGGATGAAGTAGTGGTGTGAGTTGTGATAGTTGCCCAGTTATTGTACCAAAGTTGCTAGGACGAGTGATACACTCTCCTGAGTTGTATGGTTTTTGCACCCAGTTTCCACTCAAAAAACTGGGTGGGCATTTGCCTTTTTTCTTTCATCGTCTAATAGAAATTGCGGCAAAATTTTTGCCGTCCTTTCGAAAAAGAAAATTGAAAACATGCCTAGGCAAATGTAAACTGCATTCCCAAAAGAACCACCATCAAGTGCTACAACACCACCTTTCCGTGAAAACCTGCATGGTGTTTTGGAAGCTTCAGCTTGGGAGGTGTTTTGTGATGGAGCGGTGGTAAATAATGTCCCCCTTCTCACGAGCCAAAGAGTAGAGTTCCACAATAATCAAGTGCTTCTACCCCGAGCCGCGCCGGCAGAATCAAAGCCCATTTCTTCCCCCAAATCCACACAGTCACCAAATGTTTGAGCAGAGCATCGCATGACTGCAATTCCTTGCTCACGCATCCCCAAAGCCGTCAACACCCCAGAATCGATCGAGATGCCAGTCCCCGCCTTCTCACTCAACTCACCTAACTCGAAAGTTTCCCCAAATGTCGATCGGGGAAGATGGAAGCGAGGAAGAAACACACGAGATCTTCAACGCCCGAAGCGGAGAGGCGGAGGTTCCGATCCGCTGCATGACGCCGGCGGCAGGCTGCAGCTGCAGGTCGCACAGCTTCTTCTGCCACTGTGTGTGATGTGATTTTAGGCCAATGGTGAATAATCGTACGTATCATCCACCGCAAGAGAGCTGCGAGTCATCGGAGCTGCTGCCCCCTCACAATTTGGAATTGGGAGCTTGTGGACTCTGGTCCCGCGGACTGGGAGAAGAGAGGCCATGCAGCAGGAGCAGGATTGACCGCAGTCGAGTGGCCGTGCCAGGGTTAGTACAGTGTAGGTGGTCAAACTTTCTGGTGAACACATGAGGGGCGAGCAGATCAACCCTGAACACTGCATTGCATGCAGTCTCTTGACCAACCATCCATCGGTCTGGCGGCAGAGTAGTTAGTAGGTAGGTGCAACAACCTGAAATGAACTCCGGAACATTGGCAATGCGCGCGGTCCGGTCAGCAAAGTAACCTTCATCTAAAAGAAACGAAACAATAAGCCTTGGAATTGGGAGACAAAAACAAGTAAAAAAAATAGAAAGAAAGGAACAAAAAAACAAAGTTTCCATCTTCAGCTCGGAACCGCCGTCACCTCCATGGCTCCTACCCGCTCTTTGCGAGCAGCATGTAGCATGTGATGATCCAAGGAGGTCGCACGCCTTGTATCGTCAAGAACCTCCGAATGTACTGCGCCGTATCAGAGCACAGACCGGTATCAACCGTACATACCTGATTCCAAAGCATGTCAAAGCCCTGTGGGTCAGGCCTAGGATAGTTTTTCCTTCTAAAGTTTACTTCTTATCCTATTGAATGTTTGACACATGCATAGAGTATTAAATATAGATTTAAAAAATAATTAATTACATAATTTACGACTAATTTACCAGACGAATCTTTTAAGACTAATTAGTCCATGATTTGATAATGCGGTGCTACAGTAACGCATGTGCTAATAACAAATTAATTATGCTTAATAAATTCGTCTCGCGGATCACCGACGGATTCTGTAATTTATTTTTTTATTAGTATCCGAACAGACCATACGACAACCCATGTAACACTCGATGTGACACCCTGGAACTTTGAACCCTCCGTTTAAACAAGGCGTTAGTTGGTGAGACGTGAGAGGCCGGTGTCAACGACACCAGTTTGTAGATGCCTTGAAAAAAAAAGATAAGAAAGCCATGCTCTTGGTTTGTTTCCCCCCTTTTCTGTCGGATCAGATTCAGAAGACCTCCGGGTGGAACCGCCCGGTGATGGAGCCCCCCTGCGGTTGCGGCTGCGCGTTCCTGAGGTGCATGGACAGCGCGTAGTTATCAGTCTCCAGGCTCCTGACGCGCTCCTGGCACCCGGCGAGCTGCCGCTGGAGCTCGCGGTTCGCCGCCTCCTTCTCCTTGTACAGCCGGTGCTGCACCCGGACCGCCTTCTTCAGGAGGCCGTTCTGCCACAGGGCCACGTCTCGCTCCGCGCGGCAGGTGGTGGCCACGGAGGCGTCGAAGTCCTTCAGGAGCCCGGCGGCGCGGGCCCTGGCGTCGCCCCAGTTCTCGGCGCACGCCATCGCTTCCATGAATCTCTCGATCCACTGATCCGTGCGGTCGTCGCTGCCGTCTGACGGAACATGAACATCGACGGTGCGCTGCTCCCCTTCTTCTTCGGCGGCGGCAGCGGTGGCGGGGTGGACGTCATCATGATGAGCACCAGCGGCATCTAACCGCAGGTTGACCAGGCGCTCGATCGCCACGTCCAGATCTCTCTCGCACTGCTCCAGGGCCCGCGCCTTCTCTGCGGAGTTGGCCGCCATAGCAGCAACCGCCGATTTGGTGGTCGGCTGCGGGCCGACGGAAGCGACCAGTTCGTGGAGACGGCGAACCTATGCTGCTATGCAGCAATGCAACAGCTCGTGACACATGGACAGACAGAGAGCTGTAGATTGGCGAGATGCAAAATAAGGAAAGGACCAGAGGGCTCCTGGCTTTTATTGCCTGGGTGGAGCTCCTCCGTTTGTATCTCTCCCGTGTTGGAGTCGAACTCGAATCGAACCCACGCGTTTTGATTTTTTGAAGTTTCGGTGGTCTCTAATACGAATCGACAAAGCCCCTGTAGCTGACTGCTGGGCCCAGCGACACATGCACGGGATCTGAATTCTGAACCCGCCGTAGCTCAGCTGCTTATTCATGGTTTATGTAAAGTGAGCTGTTATCATAACGTTTATAGGTACTCTCTCTTTCAAATTATGATATATTTTCACTTTTCTAGATATAAGTGTATAGCAAAAATTATGTATTAAAAAAAATCAAAACACCTTATAATTTAAAATAGAGACAGTGGTTGTCATAATGAATCTTATAATCTTGATATATATAATATTTATATGATTACTAGGTGAGTGCCTGCGACGGGAGCAATAACAAATTGTAAAAGATGTAGCCAAATCAAATAAGCATAGTTAGTCCAATTATCTATGACTATTAGGACATATAATGTTCCAAACTTCTCCAACTATGCCCTGCAATTAAAAGACAATATGCATAAGATCATAAATCAGTACATCTCAAGGGGACACACTGGCTAAAGGGTGCAGCATTACCATGAGCAAAGTAGCCATGTACTCAATGTTGGTGAGAATTTATAAAAAAAGGACGACAAGAAAGATTGTCATTAGGCCAACTACTTTTGATTCTTTTCAAACACTTATCTGAAAATTACCACGCTGGTGTCAAATCAAAACAACAACAAAAAACGTGGATTCAACCATAAGTAGCTTTTCTCGTCCTTTTTTATGAAAAAAAATGAAAGGTACAGCAGAGTTATAAGATTGCTAATCATATCAGCGCCATCAATTTTTAGCAATTGTAGAACTCAACCAAGACACCCATTGAAGTGCTACATCCCTAGCTCGCAACCTAGTTCACCTGAACCATTGATTATTCAAGCATTTAAAAAAAATTGCACTGACACGAATATACGTATGCATCAGATAGTGGTCCACTTCGAAATTTAAAACAATTTATGCAGTCCCGTAAATATGTACTCAACCTGAAAACTGCCAACCTTGCAACTGAAATCGAAATTTTTATACAAAAATGAAATGGGAATCATCGGTCCACTCTGGCTATATTTAAATGAACTTACCAACTTTGATGTGCAACATTTGAGGTGCACTATGAGATTCTGCTATGAGAACAGTTTTTTAATTGTAATAAAAAAACATACACTACAGCGTGTGGATTCAAAATCTAAGAATTGTGTTAGAAACATTTTTATAGCAACTGTAAGCAGAAATTGCATTTTGTCAATTCTACTGAAGGTTCTAGAAAAGGGGTTGAACTTGTCAGCTGTTCTCTTTGCACTGACCATTTCTTTCTAAAAAACAAGATCAAGACATCGAGCTATACGGGCCGTTCGGCTTGCTGAAACTTGGCTAAATTGGCTGAAAAATACTATCCTAACTGAATTATTGTGAGAGAAAAATACTGTTTCGGCTGGAAAAACGAGCTGTACAGGTAAGCCGAACGGGGTGTCACCTGACGGCAATGGTGGCCGCAGTAGTCTTGCCAGAGCCGTCCTTGCCGAGGAAGGTCACCAGCTTCGGGGCGATGACCACATGCTGCCTGCGACGTGCAACCCATCCGGTGGGCCACAGAGTGGGCATGCCTCGCCGAGACGACCCAGGTCGGCGCCATCCGCCGCCGACGCGGCTTGCCTCACTATTTGTCAGGATTTCAGAGGTTCTTGGTTAGACAGTCAGGCTCGATCTCTTCCGCTGCAGCTGTCAGGCCGCCGAGCACATCTCAAGCGCCTGCGTGCGGCGAATGAACTGCGCGTCGTCGCGGACCGTCGTGGCTGCGCTGAGACTGCCCCGTGCCGAGCTGCCGCCCGGTGTCCTGCCGGCCCATGACCTCGCGCGGTCCCTCTGCGCCGTGCGTGCTCTGGCCCGTGCATCGCCCGCCGGCGAGGTGAAAGCCAAGTCGCCGGTAATGGTTGGGTGGAGCAGCGCCCGCCCCGTCACCCGCCCGCCCGTCCACGTATCTACGGCAGACTCCGCGGTGATGAAGACACGCTCAGATCTGAGGGCACTCCTGCTCTGTATTGGGGAGGAGACGACACTGAGGAGGGTAGCGCGGTGCGGCTGCGTGACAGGATAGGCTCGTGGCGGCAGCGACGGGAGCGACGTGACGGGGCAGACGGAGGCCCCCTTCTCCGGCTGCCGCCACGCGCTGTGCCGCCGCGCCGTCGCCTCTTCATTAGTGTACGGGCAACACGGGGGCCGCCGACGCTTGATCCACTCCACCGAGGCGCAGGAGCGGAAGCGATTTGGGGAGGCGTTCTCTTGTGCGGGCGGGAGGGAAGGAGGGTGATAGAAGGCCGCGGGCGAGCTGGGCATCGTGCGCGGGGGCGGCGGTTCCGCGGACGCACGATACAGGCGCGCGGGCGGGGTGATTAGCGGCGTTTAGCGTGAGGCAAGGGTGATTAGCTGGGCAAAAACGATGACATCCGGATCTTTTTAAGCTGTAGAGATAAACTCATTAAATTTGTCTAGGTGTGTCACATCGGCCCTGTACTCTTAAATTGTATCGTTTAGATCTTAATCTTTTCACTCTAGCGGACATAGCGGAGGACTTTAGCTTAGGATGGACGCTGAGCTTGTCCATGAAGGGTTTTGTCGTGCTCATGAGAGAGCAATGCGAAAGTGAAAGGTAGAGGCCTAGAGGGCGAGCCAAGAGGGTCATTTTGTTTCACCTAGCCACAATGTACGTTCGCTTGTCAATGCACCAAAGAGCACACAGATGTAAGAATTATTCTCTCTCATATATAGCAAATTTGTAGGGTCAATTTTAAATTTCACATTTGAAGAGTGACTACTCGTAAAGATGGTAAAAATTAAATATTGTAAGAAGGGTTGTTCTAGAGTTGACATTTCATGTCACAACTAGTTAGCTTGTTAGAGCATCTAAAATGGTCTTTTTTTTTGAACTCACTCACTAAATCTATGTCTTTTCACCTTCTAACAACTTCCGTATATCTTATTCGGCATTCTAGAGAGCCAACTATATTCTCTATCTTTAGCGAGCGAGAAACCATAAATACATGATAGAAATATTTGGAGATCTGTTGGAAGGTATTTTTTCACTAAAATATCTATTTCTATCAACATGCAAGAATATGAAGAGTTTTGGCCAATGTAGTTTTTTTTTGCCATCTAGACTAGACTAGATTGTTGGTATCAAATTCTTGATTAAAATACCAGCGGTTCCTAAACTATTGTGATATTCTCATCTAGGTCCCAAACCTATAAAATTGCATATACCTAAACTATTTAAGTACCCAATCCAAGTATAAAGCAGTCACACCATGTTCTATTAGCGGACATAGCACTTCGGCATAGAATTGATATGTGGGTCATGGCTCATAGTTACTGGGCGGCCTCGAAACTATCACGCGATTCTCATCTAGATCCCAAAGCTACGAGATTACATATCTAGGTCAATATAATCTACTAAAGTACTCTAACTCTGGTCCAAAACACCCGTCTTTCTTCTCTATCGATGAATGACTGCGCTCACCATGCTCTGCTAGTGTGACCGCCATGTTGTAGCTAAGAGGATCTTAGCATCATGACTAGGTGCATAATGCTATAATACAAAGCCTATGTGGGGATATTAACCAATTGCTCCTTGCCATCATGGTGGAGGCGCTCACCCAACAACAATGCCCAGTTTTGTCCAATCATGCTTGCAAGTAGCATCGAGATGTTCTTGCCGAGACAGGATGAAAAACAGACGCAAGGAATGAGCAAAGGCTCGTAAGCCTGGCTCACAAGTCGAACGATGATGAATGGAGTGTGCATTGGCTATTTTGGACTGAGATTTAGGTAGTTAAATAGATTAGGGACCCATAATTTAATTTCATAGCTTAAGGACTTACTTGGTAGATAAGAATCACATAATTATTTAAGGACCCCTTATATAATTTTGAGCTATGGACCCTCATGTCTAAAGTTCACAGTGTCACGTCAGCTAATGAAACTACTCCATCTCCTGACTCGCACGTGATCCCGATCGCCCCATCGGCCCCGTTTACCCCAGCCGTCCATTCAATATCGGACGGACCAGGCGGCGGCCACGTCCATCTGCTATCCCGCCCCACCACGTCTGGCGCCGTGCAAACCACGCACGCACGCACTTGTCGACGGGCTCGCGTCGCACTCGCATCGCATCGCACCCTCTCGTCCTCTCTGCGCCGACCCGGCTCTTCTTCCCCAATCCTCCTTCCCCGATCCAGTCCAGCAGCGACGAGGCAGAGCGAGAAGAGGCAGACACAGATCGCGCGCGGAGATGTCGTCGGACTCCTCGTCGTGGGCGCGCGCCCTGGTGCACATCTCGCCCTACACCTTCTCCGCCATCGGCATCGCCGTCTCCATCGGCGTCTCCGTCCTCGGCGCGGCATGGTGAGTCAGCGCGCGCCTCCACACCCTGCCTCGCTAGATCTGCCGCTTCGCCAGGTCTTGCGTGCGCCTGCCTGCCTCTCACTGTCCTTGCTATTTGCTTCTGCTCTGTATCTCCAGGGGTATCTTCATTACGGGGAGCAGCCTCATCGGGGCTGCCATCAAGGCGCCCAGGATCACATCTAAGAACCTCATCAGGTACGAAATCTGGAGCCTTCGGTTCTTATTACATGCGCAAGTTGCTGTTGGTAGAATTGGCTAGGCTAGGGTAACGTACTGTAGTTCCGCCTGATTTAATTCACAATCTAGATGAGATGTCCTCCCTATTGATAGCTAAAATTCCCGTCCATTGATTGAATTCACCGTCTAGCGGATTTGTCTAGTGATATTGTGGTATATTGACTTATATATAGCTTTCGTATTAGGAAGTTTGAATGTCATCTTGATGTAAGGTGCGCTGATATATGTAGAATCTAGAAGCTGATAGACGGCAACAACCTGCAAACAACTGCCTAGAAAAATTTCATGCTCTCATTGCAACTGTTTAGCCCTATGCCTTTCCATAGCTTTTGGTTGTTACAAACCGTTTGGCCTCCCCTGACCTCTTGGGACTGCACTGATATTTCAGTTTACCTTGGATTAGCTGCAAGCACTACCTTGTTACTGCTTAAAGAATCTCTTTGTTCTTTTTTGTGTGCCTACGAGCCTATCATTACAATCTGGCCTTGTTCCTAACTTTTTTAACTTTTGATCCCCTCAGCTCTCATATTCCACACTTGGTTAGGGCTTTTCTTTCAGAGACCTAAATCTTGCACTCCCTTCAATAATGTTTTCAAATCATCTAATTGACCTTAGTCGCCATTGGAGCCGATCATCTGGACTAATCATGTCTAATTGTTGTGCATAACTGATCACTATGCACTGATAACCCTGGCTAATCATGATTAGTTGGACAACTTGATAACCTTGATTCCGATTGCAAATATATGCCATTTTAGTATTCTACTCGGTCGATCTTTTTACTTGATTGATCCTCAATAAATTAAAACCTATATAGATTAACAAGACATGGTTGATGTTACTAGATTCATCACAGAAAATGCTTTCATAATATATACAACTTTCACTATTTAAAATAGTATTTTTAATAAAAAATGCAAATCAGCTTCACATTGGAGACAATGTCACTCTTTTTAATGACCTACATTTGGAATCAGAGGGAGGAGGTCTGGTGTATGGTAGGAAACAGTTTTATTTAGTTTGTTTCGAGGGAAAAAATGTACAAGTACTGCCATGTTTTTTTTTCTCTGGTAACGGTGGAAACCTGGATATTTCTTGATCCATGATGCCCCTGTTAGTGTTGGTGGTTCAACACTTCGATTCGATAAGGTACTGTTGTTTGACAAGTACTCCACATATAAACATTCCAAGCCACACACTACCATACTTAAGTTCAGCTGGGGCAATTTTTAGCTTTGCTTTTCTTCTGTTTCTGTGGTTAATGCAGTAAAGTTCTTCTGTTGATCTTGTTGGTACCAATCATGGTCCTTTGTCTATCTCAGCATCTGTTGGTTACCTTTCGCTCTTATCCTTTTGTTGTTGTTGTGTTGGTGGATATGATCAATAGAGTTCTAGCTGTGCAACTAGATTGTAATCTATTCTTATTGCACTGATGATGATGAGGTGCTAGGACAGATAGATAATTGAAAACGTTTGATCACACTTTCTTGTGAATTGTGATCATCATATGTAAAGTGTAATATTTCATTAGAAATTCAAAAGAATACGTAGAACAACTACTGCAAGAAGAGGAAGCATATCCATTCATTTGGTGTTTAGGAACACAATTGAGTTTTGATTGCCTTATTTTTAGATATACTGGAAGAGCATTGCAGTATTCCTCTTGTAATTTTGGATCTTCACTGCTCCAGTTTTAAAGTGTGCCATGTTTCCTGTATTATTATCCAATAGCAATGGTAGAAGTAGAACCTTAGTTTAGGGACTTTGGAACTGCAGTGTTGTTTACATCTGTCTTTTTTAAAATTGTTCTGAGAATTAGAGAAATGCTTTTGTTTTTACCTTAGAATCATTCATTCAGGCATCTGGTCATTTCTATTCCCCCAAATGCCCCTGAATGGCTTAACCAAATAAGCTCACTTGTGTCATGCTTATGAATATACTCTATAAACAGTGTAGAACAATAGAAAATGGAATCATGGATTAATGGGATTGAGAGTTGTTTGCCTGAAGCAGTTCATCTTGCATTTGATTGAATGGATACATGCTAAAGTTATATCGGACTGCCAGATTCACATCTACATATTTGTATACCCTCAGTTTACCTCACTTAAACAAACACCATATGATGTTCTCATCCTTGCATCTGCCTTGTTTTGGTGTCTTTCTAGGTGAGCAACGAACATGACATTAGACATAAGGAATGCAACAAGCTCTAACTTCATGTTAGAAATTTATATTTCCATCGAGTCATAAACTATTGTTCTTTACAGTTTCTTCATATGTAATCATAATCTCAATGTACTTTTGCTTTTTCAGTGTCATCTTCTGTGAGGCTGTTGCAATTTATGGTGTAATTGTGGCAATCATCCTCCAGACAAAGCTTGAAAGTGTGCCAACATCTCAAATGTATGCTCCGGAGTCTCTTCGAGCTGGCTATGCAATCTTTGCATCTGGCCTTATCGTTGGCTTTGCTAATCTTTTTTGCGGGTAGGCACCAGGCTCTCCATCTTGTCTCCTCTGGTGAATTTATTCTGCAGTTCCAGATGATTAAATTTCCTATTTATAGGGTATGCGTGGGGATAATTGGAAGCAGCTGCGCACTGTCTGATGCTCAGAACTCATCACTCTTTGTAAAGATCTTGGTGATTGAGATCTTTGGCAGCGCTCTGGGACTGTTTGGAGTCATTGTGGGCATCATTATGTCATCTCAAGCGACATGGCCAGCAAAAGCTTGATTTTTCACCATTAGTAGCTCCGTAAATTACTCGGATGGAATGTATCGGAATGTGCATGTGGTCCAACTGTCTTTTCCAGTTCTTTTTTCTTTTGCATTTTTTTGGGAGAACATGAAATCTGGCGCCCGTAGCGCTACCGATTGTAGAGTTGCTATTCCTACTGCCGGAGTACTCCATGCGTGTTGGATATCTTGTAGGTGCTATTGCCGTTGCAAGACACTTGCAATTGGCATATTGAATAAATGCTTTGGACTGAATAAGACGAAAATTATTATTTTTTTGTCACCCTTCGATTAGTGCTAAAAGTGTCGGTCCAACATTTTTTTATTAGAATGACATAAATGGTTTTGTGGTAATGGCCCGAACGCAGCAGGGGTGAACGATTTGAATTTTGACAAGGATTAAGAGTCAAATAATTTCAAGTTTTTGGTTATATATATATATATATATATATATATATATATATATATATACTCTCTCCAATACAAATTATAAGCTGTTTTTGTTTTCTTAGATATATTGTTTTTATTACGTATCTAGATGGCGAAATAACCATTTTCGTCTCTAGAACTATTGCTCGAGGCTCACCTTGGTCCCCGACCTTTCAAAACGTTCTCCTTAAACAATCCATTTGTAGGTTGATCTTGTCCATCCCCGTTAATTAATCACCACGTGCCTAGGAGTAGATGCGAAATGTCATTGCTGCCCCTTGCTCCATCCTTTAGCAGTCAGCCATCTCACGGCGTCTCCCAGTCCCGTTTCCTCCCTCTCTTCCCCGTTTCCACTCTCCCTGTCTTGTTGCTCATGGCAGTTGCATAGCTAGGTTAGGGTTTCTTGGGGAGGAGAGCAGTGTGGGACGGTGCAGCGCTGGAAGGGGTGAGGCGCGCCCCTTCTGTTGGTGGAGGCGGACACCTGCTCATGTGTGACCACGACGCGGGAAGAGGAGTGGACGTGATCCACATTAAGATGAAAGTGGCACCTAGCTGGTTTTGCGATTTGATTTGTTTTCCTGGTAGAATGTTTGAATTTGACCATATAGTGGATCTGTAGGGCTGCAAAACAATGTCTGAATTTGACGTACTGGAAGTTCGATTTCATTTTAATGGGGAATTTGTTCTTGATGCGTCCAAGATGTTGTATTGCAATGGGGATTCTGGGGTGTCCCACGTAGAGAAGGACAAGATATCTATCCCTGAACTTGAAGGCCACCTATTGGATCACACTACTTTTCCTAGATCTGTTAGGATGTACAGGTTACCATACGGTGCAGATTTGAATAGTGGAATGAAGTTACTTGTAGATGACAAGTCATGTTTGGACATGATTAATGAGCTGGGAACTGGTAGGGCTGTGGATATATACACCGAACCAATTAGTGTTGGCATTGGTGGGAATGAAGAAGAAGGGCAGGCCTAGTGCAGTGGTGAGAGTTGTCTCACTGAGTCACCAGGTCACGGGTTCAAAGCAGCCTCTTCGCAGATTTTACGGGGGAGGCTTGTGTGGCAGAACTGTCCGAAATAACACACTTACGGAGGCGCTTGTCTTCCACTAGACACTAAGCACTCCGAAAGTGAGCCACATCAGGCAGTTCCGTCGATCACACCCCATGGGAGAATCCAAAAATCCACATTTTTCAACAGGATCATAAATGGGAGAATAAAGCTTACAACATTTTAGCCATTTCTTACCTCACTTTTCATGCAACATCATAGTATAATATTTATTGTTTATAATAATGGAATATAATCATGTTATCAGAGTTTTAGCGGAAATAAAATCATTTAATGACAAGATAAACATTAACATGATGATCCGTTATATACAACACAATAGGTTATAAGTTTTTTCATCGTAAAAAAACATTTTGGGTGAAAGTTTCAAATAAACTATATGTCTGCAACGTTAAGAAAATCCTCGCTGAGCCCACCAGGAGGTTTTCACACACAGGTGTCAGCTCCACATGTTCCTGTCACCTGCAATAGGGTAGAACAAACCCTGAGTACTCAATTGTACTCCGCAAGGCCTACCCATCGGGAGGAAAGAAAAGACTCCAAGGATGTGCAAGGCTATCTGTCTCGTGGGTTATTGCATCTGCAGGAAGCATTACTAAAAGTGTGTCCTTATATTCAATTTCATTAGCAGTCACCATTAGCTCATTAACTAACTATTCTATGTAAGCACTTGTGTTACTTTCAAGCAGGTGGTAAGCAATCAGACCATTTTACTAGTTTCATATTCCAGTTCTTACTACGGTGCTAGATCGTAGACAAGTCGTACCGGATTACCCGGTGATTCGTAAATCAATGTGCCCAGTTGGGTACCCCGAAACACGCGCCCCGCTTGTATCCTAGTCACAAGCAGGACTAACCCACCACTCTCTTGTCAAGGGGTCCAGGTCCCCATCCAAACTTGGACTCTAAGCTCCCACACCTGAGTCTCGGACTCAGTGTGGTGCTTAGACCTCCACCATCCCCGCCTCCAATCAGTTAGTCCGGAAAGAGCCAGAACCCACGACAAGACAGTAACGAGTCTTCCCTACTCCCATAAATAAGTATGTGCCCAGGATAATAAGTCTGTGACCTGACTAGAACCCAATGCAATGGTCGGTCCTTAACCGACATAGGCGGAACAAGTGCAATATGAGCCTCGCTCAAATGCCAAACTAAGTCCAGATCCAAAGTACCATTCCGTCCGGTCTCCAATTAACATTCATATATATTTTTCAGGTGATAATAATATAATAACAATAATAATATCTTTTCTTTCTCTCGCGAGTGACAGGCAATCACTCGACTTCTACCGAAGTCCTGTAGCATAGCAATCTACATGATCCTGTCATACTAATAAGACTCATAGGATAAGGATATATATATGCAAGTGGGTTTCATTCAACTCCTTAAACTTAATGCACAAGCATAAATTAAAGTGCAGAATAATAGGGGTTATGCACCGGGACTTGCCTAGGTAAGATATAACCAAAAGTTAACATTCCATCATGGTGGCATGATCCTCCGGACCATCCTTTCGATACTCCAGATGACTCCATGATCCCTCATTGTTCCTATTAGGGTATACGTGGATGAAATACAGAGACGTAATTAACCAACTGCAACCGTGACTCGTAAAATACGATTTACGTCTCTTAGGCTAACGAGCTAGTTCTAACGATGACCGTACTTAGGCTATGTATCCACGTTGCCAAACCAGACGTTATTTCCCAATGAGTGTTGTAGCTATACAAACCCAAGTTGTTTCTTTATTCCATTCTATCGATTTAATATCTATTCAAAATAGGGCATCATTATCTATCTAACAAACTAATTACTCTAGAGCTACAAAAAATACAGTGAGCAGATAATATATTAGGAATTTACTGTAAAATTTTTCAGAGTCGACACTATCTCCATTTTCTCACAAAAATTCCCACAAGTTCATATTTTAACAATATTAAACATTTTACAATAATTAGAGCAACCCTAAAAACAACACCGACTAGATGAACAAAATACATTAACAGATAGACCATAATTTTAGGAACCTAACAAAATTAGTTTCACTATTTTTGGATCCCTAAATGATTTTATATCTAAATAACAAAAATTAGCTCAGAATTTATTTTAGAAAACCTTTTCTAATTCCCTAGAAAACGAGAAGGGCACCGCGACCCACTCGGCCTAGTGCGAGGTGTGACCACGCGTGGCAGGCCGGCCTAGCAAGCGGCCTAAGGCGGGGAGCCCACGCGCGCCATCTTGCAAAGGAGACTGAAAGGTCTTAATGGCTAGAGGGGGTGAATAGTTTATTAAAAATTTCTATAACAACACTTAACAAACCGGTTAGACAATTATGAGGCGAAGCAAGTGTTGCGCTAGCCTACTAAAAATGCAAGCCACCTACCATAATTCTAATTTATATGGTTTCTATTCACAATAGCTATGTCACCACACTAAGTTAGTGTGCTCTCAAAGGCTAGCTAAAGAGCCACACTAACTAAACTAACAAGCTCTCACAACTGGCTACACTAAAGAGCTTGACAACTAGTTTGCGGTAATGTAAAGAGAGTGATGAATTTGTTTATACCACCGTGTCGAGGAAGGAGCCAATTAATCACAAGAATGAATACCAATGAAGACCAATCACCTCGGAATCAAATGATGAACACAATGATTTTTTACCGAGGTTCACTTGCTTGCCGACAAGCTACTCCTCGTTGTGGCGATTCACTCACTTGGAGGTTCATGCGCTAATTGGTATCACACACCAAACCCTTAATAGGGTGCCGTACAACCAATACAAGATGAGGATCACACAAGCCACGAGCAATCCACTAGAGTACCTTTTGGCTCTCCACCGGGGAAAGGTCAAGAACCCCTCACAATCACCACGATCGGAGCCGGAGACAATCACCACCCTCCGCTCGACGATCCTCGCTGCTCCAAGCCGTCTAGGTGGCGGCAACCACCAAGAGTAACAAATGAATCCCGTAGTGAAACACGAATACCAAGTGCCTCTAGATGCAAACACTCAAACAATGCACTTGGATTCACTTCCAATCTCACAAAGATGATGAATCAATGATGGAGATGAGTGAGAGGGCTTTGGCTAAGCTCACAAGGTTGCTATGTCAATGCAAATGGCCAAGAGAGTGAGCATGAGCCAGCCATGGGGTTTAAATAGAAGCCCCCCATGAAATAGAGCCGTTGCACAACGTGGGGTGACCAGACGCTCTGGTCATATTGATCGGACGCTGGACCTCAGTGTCCGGTCACGCGATGCGTGCCACGTGTCCCCTCTCTTCAAATGTTGATCGCCTGATCTCAACGGTCAAGTGACGACCGGACGCAGCAGCTCAAAGTGACCAGACGCTGAACCCCAGCGTCCGGTCGTTTCCAGTCAGCATCCAGAGATGACTTTTCATGACCGGACGCGTCCAGTCATGCTCGACCAGACACACCCAGCGTCCGGTCACACGACGACTCCCCTGTGCGCTGCCACGTCAGCAA